GGGGGAAGGGAGTGTATTTTTCTGTGGGATGTAGAGATATAGAAGGATTGTGAGGACAGTTTGAAATGGTGATTCAAAGCAACTAATGTGATTTATCTTTTAGAATTTTCCTTGACTTTGTATTTTCTTTTTAACTAAAAGATCACCAGAATGTAAGAACAGATAATTTACTGAGGTATAAACACCCATTCTGTCCTGGGCAGCCACAGCCCTGTCTCCCACCACACTTCCCTCTCCATCTGGTGGATGAGCAGCTGAAGACATGGTTCACATTCTGTGTATTTTTCTCAGGCTAGGACTACCACTTACTATCTTTCTCAATTTGATAGGACTTGTCACCAACTGAAGAAGAGCCAGCGTCCCCTACTGGAGAGAGTGGCATGGACAGTGTGTCTGAGAGCACTGGCAGCATCCTCAGTAAGCTCGACTGGAATGCCATCGAAGACATGGTTGCCAACGTGGAAGACAAGAGCCTGTCCGTCCACTGGGCCCTGGATCTGTAAGGCCTACACGCATTCTGTCTCCAGGGCCAGCAGCGCAGTGGTGTGGGCTGGAGGGAGGGAAGCAATGCAGAAAGTGACGTGAATTAACTACCTGCAGCCAGATCTTACCTGGACAAGTCATTTCAAGGAGGAAAATAAACATTTCTCAATAATTTTGCCTTCATGGAAAAGGGATCTTTAATTATAGATGTATTATATGTTTTTGCATTTGACTTATGTAATTTTTTAAATGATAAAATAAAATTCACCTTTCAAGCCGAGTTCTCAATATTTAAGCTCCTTTACCATCCCAAGTTTGAGGGAAAAAATTTATATGGGTAAAGGTAGGAGGAGAAAAGAAAGGAGGAGAAAATCACAATCTTACTGGAGACACTCAAAATGAACTCCCCTCTAACTCGGAAATATCCTACAATTCAGCTGGGCGGGGCCTGGCCCGGGCGTGAAAGGAACCAACACCTCCGCCAATCCTGAACTAAACGAAATGTCCCTGTAGGTCTGGCCTCTGCCTGCAGCCGACAGCCTTGGAGGCAGAAGCAGGGTTGGATGCTTTGGGTGGGAAAGAAAGGGAATATGACTCCTGACTCCAGGAGGACCCTGTTAACTTTGTAAAAACCATGGTGCCAGAGGACTTTGGTCAAGATAGTAGGTCAGGTAAACACTGTCCTCACCATATCAAAATTGCAACCTAAATTATAAAACCACCTAAATATCTGAACAGGAGTCCCATAACTGAGGATATAAAGAAGCAGCCACGCCCTAACCGGTTTGGCTCAGTGGATAGAGCGGCGGCCTGCGGACTGAAGGGTCCCAGGTTTGATTCCAGTCAAGGGCTTGTACCTTGGTTGCGGGCACATCCCCACAAGGGGGTGTGCAGGAGGCAGCTGATTGATGTTTCTAACTCTCTATCCTCCCTTCCTCTCTGTAAAAAATTAATAAAATATGTTTTTTTAAAAAAACAGCCACCTTGAGGCTGGTGGGAGGAGAGAGATCTTGGCTGCAGGGCTCCCCCAGAGGAGCAAGTGTCTCCCAATCCCACACTGCTCTGCCCAGCCCTTGGTTCTCATAACAGGAAGGGGAGTCCCCATAACAACTGGCTGTGAAAACCAGGGGGCTTGTGTCCGAGTGAGATGGAGGGCTACTGGAGACCCAGGCACTGCAGGTCTTAAAGGGCCTACATACAGACTCACTTGCTGTAGGCTCCTGTGCAGAGGCGGCAGCATCGTGTCAGGGACATAGGGGACTAAACTGACTAGCTTCAGGGCAAGAGATGAAAGTGGTGGCAGGCACTATTGTTTCTTTGTTAAACCACACCCACCTAGCCAGCCCAGGTGCCCAATCTGAGCTCTCCATTAGCCTGGCTAACACTAATGCCAGCACCATCTGAACTTGGTGTGCCATGTACCTCTTGCCAAGATACTCCAAGCCTGGCATAAGTGGTGAGTAGTTTCAACTTACATTTTAAGCTCCACCAAGTAGCCCCACACCCAGCATAAGCAGTGGCCAGTCTTGGCTGGGCATGCAGCCTCAATTAAGTGGCCACAAAGTGGGCACAGATGGCAGGTAGCCTCAGCTCACATTGTGGTGCCCACCAAACGGTCCCAAGCCTGGTACTAGTGGCAGCCAGCCTTGGTTCACTGAATAGGCACCAAGCCTACCACAAGCAGCTACCAACTGCAGGTCACTGTAGCACCTACCAGACAACCTTAAGATGGGCACAAGTGAAGGCTGACCTTGATCTGCACTGTAGCCCCTCTAAAGAGGCTTCAGACCAGACCAGAGCACCCCCTCCCCAACCTGCTCCACAAACCACATATCCAGAGGGCAGACTTGGCTGGCACTACAGCCCCACTAAAGCAACTTCCTCTCATCCGAGGTGGTCATAGCCAGCCCTCATAGCCGGTCAGCCTGAGGGTCAATCCCACCCACTGATGTGTCAACAGCAATCATGGCTCAACCATAACAGGATGGTATACACAACCTACACAGGGGGCGAGGGGTGGGCACAGTTTGGGTGATTAGAAAGACTGTGCCACTGGGCCCCACAAGACACGTACCACATAAGGCCACTCTGCCAAGTCCCGGAGGTATAGCAGGTCTACCTAAAACAGGAATAAATAGGGAGTCACGCTAAAGGAGACAAAGGAACATGCTCCAAAATGAAAGGCCAGGACAAAACCTCAAGAAAAAGAAACAAAATGGAGACAAACAATCTATTAGATGCACCCCCAGAGGAGCAAGTGTCTCCCAGTCCCACACTGCTCTGCCCAGCCCTTGGTTCTCATAACAGGAAGGGGAGTCCCCATAACAACTGGCTGTGAAAACCAGGGGGCTTGTGTCCGAGTGAGATGGAGGGCTACTGGAGACCCAGGCACTGCAGGTCTTAAAGGGCCTACATACAGACTCACTTGCTGTAGGCTCCTGTGCAGAGGCGGCAGCATCGTGTCAGGGACATAGGGGACTAAACTGACTGATTATAAGAATGAAATAGACCAATTAAAAACTAGTAAGACCTGAAACCATAAAACTCTGACATCGCTCTCAGCAAAGGAAACCATAAAACAGAAATACAACCTACTTAACTGGAGAACATAGTCACCAGTGATATACCTGATAAGAAGTTAAATATCCAAAATTTATAAAGAACTCATACAATTCAACACCAACCCCCCAAAATCCAGTTAAAAAATGGGCAGAGGACCTGAATAGACACTTCTCCAAAGAGGACAACAGATGGCTAATACAAATGCAAATTAAATCCACAATGAGATGTCACACCTGTCAGAATGGTTATTGTCAATAAAGCAACAAGTAAGTGTTGTGGAGGATGTGGAGAAAGAAAAGGGAACCCTCGTGAACTGTTGGTGGGATTGCAACTTGGCAAACAGTATGGAGGTTCCTGAAAAAAATTAAAAATAGAATTATCATATGACCCTGCAATCCCACTCCTGAGTATTTCTATTCAAAGAAATCCAAAACACTAATTCAAAAAGATATGTGCAGCCTATTTACAATAGCCAAGATATGGAAGCATAAGTGGTCATCAATAGACAATTGGATAAAGAAGATGTGGTACTTGCCCAGCTAGTGTGGCTCAGTTGGTTGAGCACCATCCCATGCACCAGGCAGGAACGAGGTTGCTGGTTCAATTCCCAGTCAGGGCACATGTCCGGGTTGTGGGCTCCCTTCTTCTCTCTGATATCAATAAAAACATGTTAAAAGAAAAAAAGAAAATATGGTACATATATACAATGGAATGAAAAGAATGAAATCTTACCATTTGTGACAACATGGATGGGCCTGGGGGGTATTATGCTGTGAAATAAACCAGTCAGAAAAAGATAAATATCATATGATTTCACTAATATGTGGAATCTAAAAGACAAAACAAAGTCACAGGTATAGAAAAGAAACTAATGCTTGCCAGATGGGAGGGAGGTTGGGGGACTGAATGAAAAAGGTGAAGGGAATAACAGTACAGATTGACAGTTATAAAGAAGTTATAAGAATGTAAAGTACAGCATAGGGAATCTTACCTAATAATAGACAAACATGTAAATTGACCATCCCTCTGCTATGCTCACCAGCCAATCAGGAGAGTATGTAAATTAACCCAACAAAGATGGCGGTTAATTTGCATATGTAGGCATGAAGCGGCGGAGCGAAGACTGAAGGCCCTGGCGGGAGCAGTGAAGACTGAAGGCTCTGGCCGGAGTGAAGGCCTGGATCCCAGGTGCCGGAGGAAAACTGGTGCCAGCAGCCAGGGGAAGGGAAGGCCTATTGCACGAATCTCTTCATGCAACAGGACTCTAGTATAGTTAATAATATTGCAATAATATATGGCATTAAGTGGGTACTGGACTTATCAGGGTATCAACTTCAGTATTAAATGATATAAATGTCTAACCACTATGCTGTATACCTAAAACTAATATATTATTGTATGCTAACTGTAATAAATAAATTGTTTAATAAAATGGTGCCAGAGCTGCCCTGACTGGTTTGGCTCAGTGGATAAAGTGTCGGCCTGCAGTGTCCCAGGTTCGATTCCGGTCAAGGGCATGTACCTTGGTTGCGGGCACGTCCCCAGTGGGGGGTGTGCAGGAGGTAGCTGATTGATGTTTCTCTCTCATCGATGTTTCTAACTATCTCTCTCCCTTCCTCTCTGTAAAAAAATCAATAAAATATATTTTTAAAAAATGGTGCCAGAGCTTTGGGTAGTTTTTGGTACTGCAGCAAAACAATGTCATAATTTTAGAGATAATTTTTTTGAGAAGAAACTAGAAACTTTTCTCCCACTTGTCAATTTTTTGTATAGTATCAAAGAATGTTATTATCTGTAAAGGCTATTAAAGATTCCTCCTTTTCCAACTACATAACTGTATAATGCCAGATTTTTCATATATTTTGACCAAAACAACATATGCAACAGGTTGAATGCAGAAGCTGGTATGAGAATTAAGCTGTCTTCTCAAATATTAAAGAGATTTATAAAATTAGAAAACAATGCTCCTCTCTTCACTAAACTTTTTGGAAAGTAGGTATTTTTATGAATATGTGTTATATGTTAACGTAAAAAGGAGTCACTCTCACTGGCTGGTGTAGCTCAGTTGGTTGAGCGTTGTCCCAAGCAAGAAAAGGTTTGATTCCTGGTCAGGGCACATGCCCTGGTTGCAGGCTGGATCCTCAATTAGGGGGCGTGCAGGAAGCAGTGATCGAAGTTTCTCTCTCTGCCTCTCCCTTTCTAAAATCAATAAAAACATATTTAAACAACAGTTTTAAGAGTCACTGTAATTTAAAATATTTATACTTTTTTCTCAGTTTTAATTTCTAACATGATAAATATTAACAGATAAATCCACATAAATAGTTTTTTGTGTATAAAAAGAACAAAAAGTTTGAGAACTGCTGCTTTAGGGCTAACAATATGAACCCTTAATCTCTAAGACTAGAATATTCCTCCACCTTACACTGCTATAACAGTTCACTCTCATCACTTCACAAACCTGTTTTATAAAATTACAATTCCTTTTACCTGCCCACTCCTGATTTAAACATTCTGTTTGTCTTTTAAGGATATTACCATTCCTAGTACTTTTTCCTTTTTTCTTGTAGACCCAAATTTCTATCTAGGATTAAAATATTATTTCTTATAGTACAGATTTGGCAATCAATTCTCAGGTTTCTTTGACCAAACTGCATCTTTATTTCACCCTCATTTTTGAAGGGTGTTTTTCATATCCTTACTCTCAGGCAAGGTCTT